ACATAGATGATGAAAAAGCAACAATATCCATTTTAAAGAAACACTTTTCAAGAAGTGTTTGATAAGCTGAGGTAAATGTATCCTCCATGTCTCAGGAGCAGTGTGTTTTGGATGCAGTTCAACAAAAGCACAGTAGTCAGCAGGTTTGCTGTGGCTCTCAGCAGCGTTTCATGAGAAAACCTTAAAACAATCACACACACACACACACACACACACACACACACACATTACAGATTCACTGTATTAGTGAAGACATCTTACATGCTTCATACAGAGGGGATGATATTTGGAAAATCCCAAACCTGAACCACCCCTAAACCAAACCTTAACACAAACTTGTGTATATCAGTACATTTAAAGGGGACAAAATTGATTATGTGATTTATTTGTATCAGTCCAAGCACTTGAAATGTGGTGTGCTGTTAAGGTTTGCTAAAATGTATCTATTAAAAGCCATTTTTGTTCATTTAAATAAATCTGAAATAAAATATACATTTGACATGAAATACAAAAACTAGAAATTTTTCCTTGACAGCTAGAAATAAGTTGAAGTACTAAAATTACAAAAACTAAAACTGAAATAAAAATACATTAAATAGACCAAAAACAAATTACTAAAACTTACTTTATATAAAATTAAAATCAAAACTGAATAAGTAAATTAAAAGCAAATTCAAAATATTAATAAATGAAAGTATAATATAAAAGTATAAAATAGCACTGTTGAAATGTCTTCACAAGTTGGTTCCATATGTTTGTGAGAACAAATGTGAATAAATATGAGGATTCAAAAAGTTGTCATCTTACCACCTGCAACCAATCAAATTCTTCTGTCGAGAAATAAACAACAGTCTTGTGACTGCAAAACAGATGAAATGTCCTGTCAGTAGACTATTATAGTACGGTACCTTATACCAGTAGCATTTCGCATTGTTTATCATTTTCTACCATTGTGATGCATCACTAAAACAGACAAAGTGAGATATCTATCCACTTCAGTCAATAATGTAAAGCCAACCATTTATTTATAGTGTACCATTATTGCAGATTGGTTGTAATATCACAATTCATGAATCATCTGCATACCCTCTGGCTATTTTAGAGACAGAAAAACTCTGGACCAAGGTCTCCCCAAAAAACAAATTCTTATAAGCTATATAATCAAGTGAATTTTTAACATTGTCGTGCTGGCTAAAGAACAACAGACACCATGTTGTGTGCTCATGAAAATAAACATACACAGGTCAGTGAAGAAAAACGTGTGAGTAAGTAGATACTACATTGTGTTTGCAAAAGCCCCTAGTGTGGTAACTGTATACTTTAATTTACTGTATACTTTCAACTGTATACTGTATACCTTCATGTTGAGGCTGTCGTGGTTAGAAACAGAGAGTTTTCATTCTTTTTCTCTAAACTTGCGTTATGGATGCACAGGCATTCAGCCCACTGGGTTCAAGAGCAGTTTGATTTTATCATTACTATCTGCTACACAAGAACATTAATGAAAGAGTGAGCAATTAGTCATGCTCTCAAAAACTCTGGTTATTTAGTAATCCTACCTACCAGCCAACTGCACATTGTTTCCCAGAGGTTGTTATAGAAGCCACACTTCCACTTGCTTGGCTTGGATGATGGTATTTTTGAATTTTTGAAAGGAAAGAATGTAGTTTTAGTTTGGACCTTGTGAACAAAAACATGTTTTTGAATCTGTTGAGTGAATAAATCACTGCAAATAAATAATAAACACTCACCTACTGGTGGAACCTAGAGAAACCATAATAAATCAGAGAACAAATCTGAACGAAATCAAGAGTTATGAATCATAAACATCACCACTAGTTGTATATGGTATTTTTAGTGATTTCTTTTGGTAGTTAAACTAATTTAAAGACTAGTTTTTTACCAGTTGTAATGGGGTGTGGAGTATATAAGTTCATGTGTCTATTTGGTCATGTTTTTCTGTTCAATGTCATGTTCCCAGGTGTATCTTTTTCAATAATCTTGCTTTCCCATTAGTACTACTCAGTAGAAACAGCTCTTGTTTGCTTTGTCACGTCTTGACGGTTATTATTTCTTAAATGGATTGTTCATCTGGGAAAAAAAAAAAATGAATCATTTATTCTCCCTTGTGTCATTTCAAACCATTCTTTATGTGGAACACAAAAGAAAATATTTGAAAGAATGTTTCAATTGCCAGCTGTCCAAAACAACACAAAAAAAATTGCAGCATTATACACTAAAATCTTGCAGCGTTATACACTAAATACTAAAATAGTTCTTACAACAGCTGAATGCTTCTTTATAAAGTCAAGGCCAGTTTTCCAACAGTGGCCGTATCGTCCTCGTTCTTAGAAAGAATCCTATTGAGCTTTCTGTAATTTTTTACATCCTCCATGGCTTGACTACTGTTATTCAGGTGGCTGATGGAAACTATTTCCTGAAATGCTGTATAATGTGACAAACAGCTTAGCACTCTTGCTCCCCCAGCAGGTGGATATCAAAACTTAACAACTGTCATTATTTCAACTGTTGTTAAAATCAGTCAGCTTAACAGGGAAGAACACTTTCTTTTTCCCCCCCAGTATTATATAAGATTTCAATGATTGCACACTGATGTTGCACTGTATTGTGGCAACAGATATTACTGCAATGGATAATTAATTCTAATTTCTGTGGTAAAAAACAATAACTATTTTTTTTATTTAAATTTGTTTTAAAAATTATTGGTGCTCCAATCATGATTTTTGAGGCCGATCGCCGATCACAGAAAGCAGTATCTGCCGATACCGATCACCGATACCGATTTTTTTAAAGCCTTCTTTTTATCATTTATAACTATCTATAGTGATACTCCCATCAGGATTATTAGACATTTATTCAGGGCAGGAATTTCATTTTTGAAAATGGGGGGAATTCCCCTCTTAGGTGACTCTCTTACGTTATCACAAACTTACCATTGACAGAAGTAGTCAGCTCTACTGCCTTTCCTTTTGCGTTTAAATCTTTATTACAAGCAATCCTGCGGTTCATAACGAACTTTGTTTTACTACCTCCACAAGTGCCATCTATTGCCTTGTTTATCTAAAAGTGCTCTTTCCCTTTAAACCTTGCTAAAAAGCCATATGTGTTGACTGTGAAACACAGTAGACTTTAATAATATGCATTTATGGTGTATTTACTACATTTTCGTGTCAATTCATGTTCATATTTACTGCAAAAAATGCCCTGTTACTTTAATTCAGCAAAAATAGACTCTATTAATCTGTTAACATGAGCGCTGAAAAAATACGCACCACATTCGCACTGCAAACGGAGTAATGTGAACCTGGCATTATGTGTGTGCGCTGCGAGTGTGCATGAGCGCACGGTCTCCAAGAGAGCGCTCGAGCGCTGAATGGTTAAACACTGTCAAAAATAAAAAGTAATGCACTTTATAAACTTTAGTGACGATGTGACACTGCCTCGATTGTGCAAGTGACAATTCCTGTGTCAACTGTGCAGCGTGCAGCTCGCTTATAGACAGACGCTATGTGGTAATTTGAAGCCATTTGCGTAATTTGAGAGAGAAAGAGAGAGAGAGAGCGGTGATTTACTCATGCTGTTTGTGAAATTAGTTTCACACAAGGTTTTCAAATTACTTTATAAGTTATTTAATTAAGAAATATGAATTATAATAATTATTTCACCCCCGCCGGACAGAGACTGAGATGGTGCCCATGTCGTGCCAAACCTCTCACGGCAGTCGCGTCATCAGTTTGAGATCGGCCTCTTTAGAGACCTCCGATCAATCATCCCAAAGCAATTATCGGCCGATAGTGATCGGTAGCCGATCAATCGGAGCACCCCTATTAAGAATCTATTTATAAATAATTATTAGAAAGTTTCTGAAGATATGCTAATTTATAAAAGGCTTTACAGCTCTCCTGTATCATGGTTTCCACAAAAATATTAAGCAGCACAAGTGTTTTCAACATTGATAACAATAATAAATGTTTCTTTAGCAACAAACCAACTTCTTAGAATGATCTCTGAAGGATCATGTGATGCTGCAGACTGGAATAATGGCTGCTGAAAATTCAGCTTTGACATCACAGGAATAAATTACATGTTAAAATATATTAAAATAGAAAATAGTTAAAATGTTTAAATAGTTTAAATTACATTAATATTTCACAATAATAAAATTTTTATTGTATATTGGATCAAACCTTGTTAAACAAAAGACATTTCTTTCAAAAACATTAACAAAAATCTTTGTGAAAATAGTCCTGGGAAAAGTTTTATCCTCTGCACCTCAGTGCTTCTTCCTGAGCTCCTTCCTCGTCATCTGTACAAAGTATTTAGCAAAGGAATGTCTGATATCTGAAACAGCTGTCTCGTCAGGCAGACGCCAGTAAAAAATCAGACGATGTCAAAGGTCGTTCTCTAGGTTTGCTATTGGACATCAGTCCGAGTTAAATCACAAACAGCTGACCTCACCGGCCTGCTTAATACAGCATGAAATAACATTAAGTCCATTAGTTTAAATCAGACTTTAAAGGGTATTCAGTCAAATTGCAAGCATAATTGCGATTTTCTTCTCAGTTCTCACTATTATATAAAGAGGTCTAAAAAAGTGTAGGATTAAATTGACTGGAAACCACAAGGGTGAACTGACCGCTCCCAAAACAATTCAAGATGCTTCCAGGAATTGGAAATTGTCTTCTGGAACACCGAAACATTATAAAACATAGTGCCAAAAACAGGAATCCTAACATCTCCCTAGGACACATGTCTGAAAACCACATGATGATAACAACCTGCCGGTAGGAAGTGGCAAATTACCAAACCAGACTGAGTCTTGAGACTACACTATTGTTAGGTGTAGAATTAGTGACAGCTGAGCAAACTGACCTGGCCATCCCCCAGCTGAGCTCCCACTTCTCCCCCTCACCTAACCTGCTCGTGTCCTCAATCCTGGGTGAGTTATTCATTGCTTAAACCTCAGAAGAACTCAGGGCCAGCTTCCATACCACTGTTCCCCTAAGATCCACTCTTGGGCCATGGCTGTTCACAGACAAACATCAAAGGTAGGTTTCTTTTTCTCCTTCCTGCTGCGTGAAGACTTCTTGGTAACTGGTCTCATTCTTAATATTTTAGAACAGAGTTACGTGAATAATTGAATGGGCCCAGGAGAGCTCTGAATACTGATGTGTCAGGCTGGAGCTGTTAGGAGTTTATGGGAAGGCGAGGTTGGTGTCATCCCCTGATTGCACAGCATTGACGACCATGTAGATGTGCATTATATACTCCATCTGTGTTGATTCAGTATGTAGGATGACGCGTGATTTGGATTTATTATGTTATATTTGGTAGGTTATTAAGATTCTTTTTGTAAACCGATTCCAGAGGATTTATTGATAAAGATATATGTGCAGAAAACCCATACTTTAGCTTGCACATCCTTGTCAGCGACTAAAGCAAACAGCCTTCTTTCCAAAACTCTTCTGGTTAGGCCATGTTCCATATCCAACTACAGCCGTCTGATAGATTAATGTTGCAAACCACACAAGCACTTCATGTTTTCAAATACGTGGAGGGTCTAAAGTGTATGCACTTGCACGCTGTCATTATGTGTGATGTTTATGGCTATTATGGATTTACGTGTCTAGGCAGCCAGAAAGAATGACCTTAAAGGTTAAACAAACACTGGCGTGACAGGCACACAGGGCTGTAGACAAAGAGCTCCTGCGAACAGTCATAAAATCCCTTGGAGAAAAAAAGAGGACATTGCCAAAACCACAAAATGAAAGCTCAGTCTTCAGATAATAAGAAAGTTGTGGATTAACATGACACTCAGTGATGTTGAATCCATAAGGAGTCTCAAATGTATCATCATAAATCCACAATGACAAAGTACTAAGTACATCTACACAGATCATTCACTTTGTCTACTATAGATGGCACTGTACCTTGTTTGGACCCTGATGGGCTTCAGTCTAAGTGCCCCTCCAGTTACTTTGGGCCCTGCAGCATATGACCTGGAGAATTACGATGACTCAAACACATGGAATCTAAACACGTACGGAGAGACCTATGATTATGATGACCTGGATGAGGAGGTGAGGGGAGGTTTCAAGAGTTTTGTCAGTTTGTCAATTCTGTTATCATTTACTCATCATCATGCTGTTCCAAACCTGTATGACTTTCTTTCTTCCACTGAGCTCAAAAGAAGAAAGTTCGGATGTTAGGTGGATCATCAAACTGTATTTTACTACATAATCAGAGTAAAGGAGGATAAGTGCTATTTCTCTCCAAAATCTCTCTCTCTCACACACACACACACACACACACAACACCATAAAAGTAAATAAGTAAAAGAAAAGTAAGCAAAAAGTAACGTATATATTCCAAGTAGGTATCAATATTGGTATTTATTTGACCATAATATCGATAATTAACTTTTGAAGTCACCGAACTTCATTTCCAGAGCTGCTCTGAGAGTTTAATTCAGTTTAACTTTAAGAAAGTATGTCAGAAATATATTACTATTGTATTTTACTATTGTATATTTACTATTGTATATGTATGTTTTCATTTATACAACATATATGTTGTGCGGCAGAAGAAGGCTGGGAACCAGCTTTTAAACCCAATGACTTCGGTTGTACGGACAAAAAAGTAGAGACATTTGTCAAAAATTATCAGCTTGTGTGCTCCACATAAGAAAGAAAGTCATACAGGTTTGGAGAGACATTCAGGTGAGTAAACAATAACAGAATTTGTAGTTTTCTGAGTGAACTATCCCTTTCAGAAGGAGTCACTATGAACATGTTTATGAATGTTTGTTATGTTCCGTGAATTTATTTTGTCTGACCTCTGTTTCTTCTCACTGACTGAGGTTGGGACGCTGGCTCCTCCTCCAGCAGTCACTCAGCCACCTGCTATAGTTCCTCCAGAGGACTATGTGGAGGAAGTGACACTGCCGCCCCGTCCGACAAAGTCACCTGTCCCTTCCACTCTAGACTTCCATGGTCCGGGCCTGTTTGGGCCTGACACAGGCTTAGGTAGATGGATAATTGGTTTGAAAGGGATAGAAATATTGTGTTTTCTATCGCGAATCTTCGCCCTATAGTGGTGTAAACCGTCATAATACGTTCCTCTCTCCCTCTCTACTGCAGGCATGCCCTCCTGCCTGCTGTGTGTGTGTATCAGTGGCAGTGTGTACTGTGATGACTCAGATCTGACTCAGATTCCCCCTCTCCCTAAAGAAACCACACACTTCTACGCTCGCTTCAACAAGATCACGGAGGTCAGGGCCACAGACTTCATCAATCTCAGTAAGACTCGAAGAGACGTCTTCTTTCTCGCAAATACAAATGTGGTTTTTCAAACACATGCTGTATTACGCAGTTTACATCAGGAATAAAATGCATAGATAGTTAGCTAATGAAGAATCTAGATTTAAGACTTAATTGTATCACGAATACAACTGAATTACAGTATGTTTAAGAAAACTGCACTTAATGCTGTTCTCAGATCAGCTAAAAAGGATCGACCTGAGTGGAAACCAGATAAGTCAAGTGAACGAGGATGCTTTTCGTTCAATGCTTCAGCTTCAGGATCTCATATTGGCTGATAACAACATCCAGGCCCTTCCAGAACTCCCAGCTACCCTCAAACACATCGACGTTCGCAATAACCAGCTGAGGAGTTCAGGCATGCACGCAGAGGCCTTTATGGTATGTACACAACTATTCAAAAGTTTGGGGTTGGTAAGAATTTTTTAGAAACCATTCTAATATGCTGATTTGGTGCTCAAGAGACATTTCTTATTATTATCAATGTTGAAAATGTTGCCGCCTAACATTTATGTAGCGATTGTGATACAATTTTTAGGATTATTTGAGGGATAGAACATTTGAACATTTATGTAAAATATAAATTATAAATTTCTTTTCTGTCACTTTTGATCAATTTAATGCATCCTTGCAGAATAAAAGTAATAACATTTTTTTTATAGCAAATAATTACTGACCCCAAACTTTTGAATGGTAATTTTCATTCTGCTTTAAGAGCAAAAATAAAACAAACAAACAAAAGAGTTTTAATAACTCTTTTCAAACTTGTTTTTCAGTAAAAATATCTAAAAATCCTTAAAATAAGATGAATTTATTTGAGAAGCAACACTGCATAAGATATTAGAATATATTAGATATAAGAATGCATCTTTAATACACTCTCTAAAAAAGCTATCACTTTTTATAACTTTTAAAAATGAACACCTTTGTACTTTATCTATCCCTAAAAAGGGTCTATTAGTACCTTAAATGTATATAAAGTGTATATATTAGTACCTTCTGAAAGGGTACCGCCCTAGTGACAGCTTTTGCACCTTTTTTTCTGAGAGTGTACGAGTCAATTTTGTCTGTGCTGGCAGATTTTTTTTCTTCTAGGTTTACACTTAGAATGAGTGAAAAAAAACCTGCCAATGTAGTATAACATAATTCGCTTATATTGAAGATACATTCTCTAAAAACAAACCATGACATTATGCCTTTTTTAATTTATTGCATTTTTTATCCTCACCAAATAATTACGTTTCCACTGACAAATTACAAACAGCACATGGAACTTGATAATTTTATCTTGTTTGTGTTCATTTCCTCTCCTGAGTAGAAGATGAAGGAACTTCAGTTCCTGTACCTGTCAAACAACAAGTTAGACTACATTCCCGTACCCCTCCCTGAGAGCCTACGAGTGCTCCACCTGCAGGTAAAAACAACTCCTGCTACTCTCACCCTAACAAATAATATCCTCAGATTTAATGCTGCTTCTCTCTCTCTTCCTCCAGAACAACAATATACAGAGCATAGGCCAAGATACTTTCTGCAACACCCATGACATAAACTACATACGGAAAGCCCTGGAGGACATCAGGCTTGACGGCAACCCTGTGGACATCAATCTTTACGCCCATGCTTATGTCTGCTTACCACGACTACCTATAGGAACTCCAGTCTAGGACAGCGTCCCCCTATTTTCCGCAGTTTGTGTGTGTATGTGTGTATTTTCTGAACTTCAAAACTCCTCTGTGGCCACAGCAAAATAATTTGGAGCAAAAAGATCAAATACTTTAAAATGTCACCATATCAATAGGCAATCAATATCTATCTTTTAAATTCCAAGTTAGTTCTTATTTAGCCAGTCACGCTAGGTAGGCATTTAGTGACTTTGCACTCATTACAGTCCAAGTACAAAATGACTCTGTTTCAAAATCCAGTGAGCTACCATAGGCATAATCCTAAATGAAAAGGCAAAATAAGTGACCAATTTGAAACCGTCATAGGCAGCAACACTGCAAAAACAGGAGACGCAACTCACAGTTGATTTTATTTCCAATCTTTTTTATTGCCATTTTGTCAGGAGAGCATGAAATACACTTACATCAAACTGATCAACATACAACAAAATGTCCTTACCGTGTCACTCACAGTTGATTTTAACAGTGTTTGCAGTTAGCATGTTGCTAAGCTAAGGAACTGTTAGTCAAATAGCCATATAAATAAGTAGCACACACAAATATGTGGTAAAATAGTCATTTCATTAGTCATGTATTAATCAGTTTAACGTTTTCAACCTCTACCTACAAAACAAACTGTGATTACGGGGCATGTGTTTGCCCAGTTCTATGACCTCAAAATACCTTTGCCATAGCACTTTATTTAAACTAATGCATTTTGACATTTGCATCACACAACCAGCTCTATATGCATGACCTTTCTAATATAGTAAACTTGCTCAGTAGCTCACCTGGTACAGCAATGCACTTGTGATGCGGATCACTTGGTTTTCAAATGCAAAAGAGCATTAACCTTTTAGCGCCGTTCACCAGTACAATACATACAACAACCAACATTTCCAAATTCACGGTCGTTTGTGTCAAATAAAACAGAACACACTTTTAGCAGCACTCACTGGACATTTCACTTTAAAACACTTTAAAAGTGTTGTGAAATGTGCAACAGGCAATATAATATAATTTTGCAGAAATGTCACCACAGGCACACTTTTGTAACATACTCTTTATTTAATGAATTCTAAGTATTTTGATAAATGACAATTTTGTGATTCAACCACCATTTGGGGGGCATTATTTTCTCTAATGGCATTGCAGTATATTCTAGGATTTCCTTCTGCATGAAGGATATGTAATGCTGCCTTACAATTTGTTTTGTTTGCTACCTTTTGGAACACTCTTCATGTTGTGAGCATGCCTATGATGCCTTAAAATGTCTTTGTAGGCAGATCACTAGGTTTTGGAACAGAGGCATTGATTAGTCATGACAAAGGAAGCCAGAGCAACAGTATAGTGTACAACTACAACTGATTTTCAATTTTCACCACAATGTGGCGCCATTCTCTAGTACTTTCCATCTGCTGTAACAAATTTCTGCATTTCTATAGACACTCAGCTCCATCTGTCAGGTGTTTTTGTCATTTAATCTTAGACTCATGCTAATGGTCTTTGAGAATGCACTGTTCTTTGTTAATGATGCTGCACGTTTGCTTGATTTGCTCTATCTCTGTTTCCCATTCAACAGTTTTCAGGACGTATATACAGTGACAACTCAGCTGCATCTATTTTTAAATCAATTCGTTCATGTACCACTGCAGGTGGTTTCTGAGGTTACTTAGCAACTGTCAAATATTTATAATTTGACATTTACCCATGAGCACAATGTAAAGATACTCCTAGATTATTTGCACTGGATGTTAAGCACCTGTATAGACGACATAAATGTAATCCCATGAGAATGAACAGGTTTTCACACACCAAAATGTGTGAGCTCATTCTTTCAGCTTTGAAGCTATACCATAAGCGCGATGTCCAATTGGACAAAGTGCCGCACAGGTCTTCACTGCAAACATCCCACATAGATCCATTTAATGCCACATTTTGAATGAAGCCCAGATATCTGTCCAAACATGAAATTAAACACAACAGCAGAAAATTACAGTTTGGCTCTCTTTCATGGCACTGAGATCAACAGCGGTAGTTCTCAAATGGTTTGATTCTTTATATGCACACATGACAAAGAGGCAAACTGGCACAATAACAACATTTTTAACACACAAAACTGTCCTTAAAATCAAACAGTAATTTAGGTAATATTCCAGGTTCAATACAAGTTAAGGTACACTTGCAACATTTGTACAATAATATTGATTACCACAAACAAAAAAACCTTGTCCCGTATTTAAAAATAAATAAATACATAAATAAATAAATATCTACTCTTACAATGTATTTACAAAATGAGGCCAAACCAATTTTAAAATACTGTTTAAAAAAAGGCCCGAAATGTAAACTGCATGTATTTACATGATTTTTAGTGTAAAAAAAAAATCACTTGACACTTTCTCTGTGAAGTTGTTTCCAATTTTACAAACTTGTTGGCATGACAGTGTGACTCCTAGAATCCTAAAACATCCATAAATTTGGTGAGAACAACATTACAGCTCAAATATCGCTAAAGTTTTAGAAGATAAATTATTGTAAGGGATTTGATAAAATTCTAAGCTTCACATTTTTGCTCAAAATATTGGCCCAATTCACTTCCATTTTAAATGCCTCACTGTAATCTTGATTTTTGAGTAGAAATTGTTGTGATCAACATTATGCCACAAATGTTGTAGATTGAATTGAACCCAATATTTTCCTTTAAAATTAAACATGAAATATTAAACAACTAAATAGTTCAAAATTGTTCACCAAAAAAAAAAAAAAACATGGAACAACATGAGGGTGTGTAAATAGTGACAGAATTTTCATTTTTGGGTAAACTGTCCCTTTGAACAATTTTGTACATGCATAAAAACAGCATAAGTGGGGCTACTGTATTTTCGATAAATTATTGTAATAGTATTCATTTTTTAAAGATTGCAGTGTTCAGGCCCCATTATTTCCATATGAAAAACTGGACAGGACTTCATAGCTTTATAGCATTCACATGTCATTTTGTTCATGGTTTGAGGATGAAGGCATGTTATGCAACCTGTTCATGTTGGCATCTGTATAATTTGGGTATAGCTTCTACAAAGTGAGAGATAAATTTGCGCCCAAATACTGATTTGTGGCCATTGACATCAAAAACAAAAGATATGGAAACCGTTTCCACTGCATTTCAGATCCCCTGCTATTCATAACTCTGTCAGAACAAGCCCACGACCCATATTGGTTCACAGCCCACTAGTTGAAAGCCACTGGTCTGCAGATCAATTGAGCGGAAGAGCTAGAGAGCGAGGCTAAGCGCTGCTAATCTCCCAGTACGGTCAAGCTTTACAATCAGTACAATTTCTCCTCCTCCTCCTCCTCTCCTTTTTTTTGGGCTCCATTCTCCTCACCCGAATGATCCTCCCATTGTTATTTGCTTTCACGAGGGCTTATATCATCCCTCCTCTCCTCTGTCGCATATAACTCTTTTTTAACCTCTTCCAGGCAGCCATTGCCAGTGACTCACTTGATGAATAAAGACGAGAGAAAACTCGATCCCTTTCCCTGCGGCTGCAGGAGCGTTTACAGTGAGGGAGGGAAGGGGTGTTTGAAGCCCGAACAATACCAGCGACTAATTGGTACATGAAAAGCAGGAGTGTCTGAGATGAGAAAGCAAAGAAATAAGTGCTTTTGTAAACAATGATTTTGAAAACACATCGCATTGCTGCGACAAGGGCTAAGCGTGCACCTGCTTTAAAGGCAGAGTAAGTGATTTCTGGTAGCCAATGTTGATATTTGAAATCACCAAAACAAACACGCCCCTACCCCAAAAGGATCTTGCCCCTATTTTGATAGCTCCGCCCCACATATACGTACGCAACCCAGGCAACGATTAGTTCTGTGAAACAAAGCAAAACCAATGTTACACCGTGTCTACGGACGTGAGCGGCGCGGCGCAACAAATCCCCGACAGAAAACTGCTGCCGGGTTCTATTTATGACGTGCTGACACAAATTTCAAATGGTTTTCAACGGTCGTTTGAGCACGTCCAGTGTAGGCAGACTTTAGCTGTTGTAGACACGGTGTTACTCACCTATTGAGAAGAAACAAAGCAACCTCGGCGTCCGATCGCAGGCCTCCGCTCCTTGTGTTCTCTCCAGCGCTGGAAAGCTGATCCAATATTTACACGGGTCCTACTTCTTTGCCTTATCGTTCCGCAGACGTTTTCCTCTTTTGTTTTTTATCCGCCATCTTGTTTTTTCGCTCGCTCGGCTCGGCTAATGTCCGTCCCATGCACTGAAAGCTCTCTCCTCCACATCACGAGTAGACACGCCCCTTATTGCTGATTGGCTACAAGTTTGTTTTGTTATTCGGCCCGAATCAGTTTTCTAAAGTGTGAAAAATCACATACCCTGCCTTTAATGTCACGGATTCAACATCGCCGTCTCTCTCTGTTTCTCTCCCGCCCTGCGCTGGGTCCATGAAGGTGACCTTGCATTCTGCCTGAGCTCATCCATTGATCTCATCACTGAAAGGACCTGCGGGCTTCCCTCCCACATGATTCAGGGGAGGGAGGGGCCACAGATAGGTGCATATGCTGTGGGGGTGTATTTCAGCAGTCCTGTGTGTGTGTTTGTGTAGGTAGTAGGTGAGGAGAGGGGCTAAGGCAAGATGAATTTTTAAAACACGCATCCATCCTCCTTTCAGCCGCAGCCATCAAATAATTGAGTCGAGCCCCCGCCTGAACAAGACCCCCCCACACACACACACACACATACAAATGCTCTCTCCAGCCTCCCACATGAAGACAAGCTCACTCACTGCTGTGATATCTGAATCTCTGAGGGAAGTAGTTTGCATTCTATTAAGCAGGGTCACTCTCTGCAGTAAATGTAAGGGAGAGTGGGGTAAGATGTACCACCAGGGTTGCCAGGTTTTCACAACAAAACCCGCCCAATTGTTACTCAAGAGTAGCCCAGTAGTGTTTCGAGGTGGGTCCCCCGTAAAGATCATGTTCCGAGGGGGGCTTTCTGGGGGGTAAAGTAAATTTTTTGGCAGGGTTTCCAGCTGGTAAAATTGGCTTTCCAGGGGCTAAATATCACAATATTGGGGTAGCTTGGGAAAAGCGCGGACTTGGCAACACTGTGTGCCACTTATTTTTTTAAATGAGACACATATAAAACTAATACACCAGTTATATTTCTGGATGTTTACTTAACATTAATTTGCTTCACATTCAAGGTTTAATATTTAATATACTTGAATAAAGTAAATACATTTTTATTTAATTGATCAAAAAAGTAATATTATTTTATTTTTGTTTTAAAAATGGCACATCTTACCCCAAAGCACAGCTATCATTTTGGTAGAAGTTTTTAATAATTGCTGACTAATACTGAGCCAAATAATTAGCAAGTTTTTTATACTTTGAAAATCCACCAACATGTATAACATTTTTTAGACCTGAAAAAAACTTGCTTTTACGTAAAATACACTTTACCTGCCAAGTAGACCATTTTTGAAATTGAAAAATTTAAATGTTTGGTGTAAGTTGTGTAATGTCAAGAGGTAAGCTGAATCAATCCCCATGTAACTTTTTTTTACGTTTTAATGAAAAGTATGCACGTAAAATTGTGTGGGAAAACAGGCACTAATATAAATGGCTAATTAACAATTTTTGTAATATTAATTAGGCTATCTGATTCACATTATTTTATATTTTCATAAACCAAAAGGTTAATATTCCGTATTCTTGAGTATAGTGGATATATTATACTCTACTTTATAATATAATATAATATAATATAATATAATATATTCTACTTGAGTATAGTGGAAGCTCAGCAACATGTATAAACAATTTTTTTAGACTTGGATAAATTTGCTTTTACATAAACTTTACTTTACCTGCCAAGTAGAAAATGTACTTTGACATGCAAACAATTTTTTTTTTTGCATAACTATACTGATTGCTGTTCTCGTTTGCATCTGTATACCCAGCTAACAATTTTGGATCCCAGAATGTT